TCAGTCCGGGAACTTTCCGGACAAACTGTGTAGTTCGGTTTCGGCAACCGGGTTATACAATCTTAAAACAGGGAACGAAGTAAGCTCTTTTTTTAGCGTTTCAAACGCCTCAATACAATGCGGTNAAAACTCAAACAAAACCGATTTCTTTAATAAATCTTGAAGAGGTTTCGCTTTAGCCGCGTAGTTTTTAATGAACTTTCTAAAATAATTTGTTAGTCCTAAAAATCGTTGGACCTGCATTACGTTCAACGGCCGCGGAAATAANTTCACCGCTTCTGTGTGACGTGGACTTAGCGTCATTCCGTCTTGCGACAGATTATATCCTAGAAATTCTATTTGTTTCTTTAAAAATTGACTTTTTCTATAATTTAACTCCAATCTATATTTCTTAAAAATGTGTAATACCTCTTCTAGAATTACTAAATTTTGTTTCACTGTATCTGTCGGAATGAGTACATCATCCATATAGACGATAACTTTATCTTGTCTAATTAGTGGTTGGAGAATCTGTACAATGCGCTTTTGAAACTCCGCCGGTGCTTCGCAGTAACCAAACGGAAGTCTCGTGTACTCGAACTGCTCGTCTGGCGTTGCAAAGGAAAAATATTTAGTACTGTCTGCATGTAATTGGATCTGGTGAAATCCATCTTTTAAATCCAACAACGTAAAAACTTTTTTATTTCCTATTCTTATCAGACAGTCTTCAATAAGCGGNAACGGGTACTTCTGTTTGATTACTTTGTCATTGAGTGGACGCAAATCGACGCATAGNCGCAAGGAACCGTCCTTTTTTCTTACCGGTACCACTCTAGCGCAGAAAGGAGACGTACTCGGTTTAATTATTCCTCGCTTTAGTAGATCGTCCGTAATTACACTAAGTTGACTCCGTTCCGACCAGGCTAATTTTCTAGGCGCATACGCGTACGGCGTCTGGTCTTTCAAATTCACGGACACACGGTAATCATCTTCTAACGGAGGATCATCCGCCTGATCGATCTCACGCAACAATGATTTTAATTTATTATCCGTTTCAAGATCAAAATCAGTATGAATTTGCTCNATTAAATCGTTATGAGAATTTGAAACCTCACAAACAACATCTACAGGTAGAACTTCTGAAAACGTAAACACTTTGACCTCTACGTCCGCAACAGTCGGTTGATATATCAAAGATAAACGATGTTTTTGCAAGAAATCTCTACCGATCACGAAGTCCGTGTTTACCGATTTATCGCTGAGCACGTGAAATTCAGCCTCANTAAACCCGTCAGGCAGCTGATCCAACGCTATTGAAGCTCGAACAATACCTGTTATTCCCACCGGACTGTTATTTATCGCTTTATAAGCCTTTGTTATCGACCTTAACGGTTCAGAAAAACTGTCCTTATCATAAACATCGCTTCGAATGAAAGATATCGGACTACCCGTATCCATTAGCGCGAACAAATTACACCGATTTGAATTTAATAATGTTACTTTTACAGGAGAGCCGTTACAATAAACTTTCCTACCGTTTGCCGCTGAAACGAACGCTACCGTAGTCGATGAATCCTCGCTCGTGCCCTCCTGCACCGTGAAAACTGCCGCCAACAAAGATGATTTCCCCGTAGTCCCTCCTGCCTCGCTCCGCTTAGTCAGCTTCGGACACTCCGNTTTTCTGTGCCCCTTTTCTTTACAGAAAAAACACACAATCGCCGCCTTCGACGCCTCTGCACTCGTCTTCTGCGACGTGTTTATCTTCCCGCCCGACTTCCCTTGGGCGTCCTTATTTTTCGACGATGACCACTTCTTCTCACTTNCCACTCCTGTGGCCAACGTTACTTTATGCATTTCCTCCAGGAACTGATCGATTGTCTCTGCTTTGATTGAAGCCGCTGTGCCCCTCAACGAACGGCTTCCAATGCCATTGATCAGCAGGTGAATCGATTCATCTTCCGACAAATCTAATGTATTTATTAACAAAAGTTTGTCCAGNGCGTAGTCGTGGAAAGACTCCTTAGAAAAATTCCACCTACGTGCCTCCACTCTTTGCATGGTCACGTTAAACATGATTTTTCTCTTGTATCGACTAACAAGCGCTTCTTTAAACGCAGTCCACGACTCGAACATATTCCGCGTTCCATGATCAAACCACTTTTTAGCAGAGCCAGTTAATTTATNTGATGCTGCCAGATAAATCACTCCATGTGGCGCCGAATGTATCTCAGCCACTCTTTCCACTCGCTGCACCCACTGCCGCACATTTTCTGTCTCAGCACCCGAAAATTCCGGTATTTGTGAAGCTAATAATTTTACCGCGTGGGCTGAAGACACCGTCATAAGCGACAATTGCAATTGCGGGTGGTTCTCACTTCCCCGGCTCTCCGCTTCCGCCGACGGAGACCGATTCTCTCGAGCCGACGCCTCTGCTCTAGGCTGACGCAGCGACGCTCCTCCATTCGCGTCTTGTAGCGTTGATAAGATTTGCCCCAACACTTGCTGCTGTTGCTGCATCTGCATCGCCAACGCAGCCAAAATCTGATGCATGGACGGCGTGTCGTCGGCTCCGTCGGACGCCGTAGAGCTTCCAGCCGATCTTGCCGCCGTCGCAGAGGCTGACCTCGCCTCTCCCTGCGACGTTGCATNTGGCCTTCCTCTCCGTTCTATGACGGACAATATCGCTTCTAACATCCTGGCCCGATCTTCCGACACCGCCACTCCCATGCACCTCGCTTCTTCNTTAAGCTGAGCGAGCGTTAGGCTTTCTAGCTCTTGCCGCTCCATCTTCTTTTTCCGCGCAGACACCGACCGTGTTTCTGGCATGCACTAACCGCGCGCACCGCACAATTACAGCGAAACAATACCACAGGTACTAACACCAACGACACCGACACTACTCCGCCGATTCCCTGTCGCCGCAACGTGTCTAACTTGCTTTGATTTTTTTTTTTTTTTCGCTTTCGCGTGCGTATTTCTAATGTTCCGTCACAGTGTCCCAAAAACAGATAACACGGACACTCACTGCCGTGCTACTGAGAACTCACTTCTTTTTCTTCAGCGAGAAACTCCGTTCTGATCCCACTTCTGAGATTAAAACACTGTAAGGAAACAGTGTTCTAGTGACGGGTATTAAACAGTACACTTTTATTTAATATGTAGATCAAGGTGCTTATAACACTTTTATTTAATATCACTGATATACAGAACTTAGATGCGCGGTTATACTAGCTGCCTAGGAATTGCAGGTCCTGGCTGCTCCAAGTCGAATGAATCCTGCCGCAGATTCGCCGGCANTCTCTGGTCCTGAATCGGGAATGATCGGCAAGCCCGATCACCAGCGAGTGCTGTTTGCCTGTATAATGATCACGCTAAATGAGCGTGACACGCGTATGTGCGCGCGAACAGCTGATTCCAACTGCTAATCTCATTTATTTCTTACAATACTTTGTTCACTGGACTTCTGTTTCCGCCAGCGAGGTAGCAAGCGATTGTGGATAGCATAGAGTGTGATTTTGGTTTTTTGTGTCAAAGTTGGCCAGTGGTTGGAATGTGTGTTGTGTGTGAGTGGGTAAGAGAGTGGTTGGAAGGAGTGGGTATATAGGTGCCCGAGTAGAAAATCAAACACGGCCCTAAGAAGGGCGCGTTAGGTGTTGTCCTGTTGCCTGATAAGGTCTTGTTAAGGCAGCCTGACAGCGCCCTGATCAAAAATGTAACGTCGTGTTACATATGGCCCTGATAGCAGGTTTCTGACCGGGCTTTAGTACGGCGGATCCTTTACGAGCCTTATTATTTTTATA